ATGTATGTGCTGAAGAGGTGATGGTGTTGCCATTGAATTATAATAACATTGAGGTCTACTTATATGATTCTCAGATCGAAATTCAAAAAGGCGATTGTTGCACTTGATAGCAAAGTCAATTGCTTGACTCAATGTTTGAGGATCAGGTAAGTTGAGCATTAATTATTTTACCTCATATTGTAATCCATAGAAAAATTGGCTAATAATTGCAGCATCATTCCACTTGATATCAATTGCAAGTTGTCAGAATTGTGAAGTATACAACATTATTGATCGATTATCTTGTCGTAAAATATGGATCTTATTGATTGCAACACAAATTACATCATGTTTTCCATACATGGATCAAAACTCCGCCAAAAAAGCCTCTAGATTATCCAATATTGGATCTCGTCGTTCAAGAAAAGATGAAAACCATGATAGTGCTGAACCTGAAAGAAGTGTATCAATGAATCTAACTTGCGATCTTGGAATTGGATAGCTTTGGGATTGAAGTTCAATCACAAGTTATACTTGATTGATAAATCCTCAAAACTTGGATCTGGTGCCATCAAACTTCTCGGATAGGGCAATTCTTGGTTGTCTAATACTGGAAGGGCATTCCAATATAGGAGAAAAGACATGGTTTGGTGCAGATGTTGAAGCAGCTCCAACCATTTCTATATCTTCACTTCCTGCCAATCTTGTTGGTCCTTGTAGTGGTAAATTAAGTTGATGCATCGCAAGCATTACCTCCCTCAATTGCTCTTGCATTTGTGCCATTGCATTCTTTATTTCAACAAGTTCTGCCATGATAACACTTAGAAAAGAGAAGATGTCTAATATCGCTCAAGACAAATAGAAGAGAGGACTTGAGAACAAAGAAAATACTAAGGACAGTATCAGTTTAGAAGAGGGTAATCTGTAACTTCTAGTATGCTTATATCTTATCAAAAAAAAGGGGTAATCCACTCTTAATCAAGATTAGACAAAAGTGTGATATTGTAGGTGTACTCTTGTCAATCTGTCAATGACAAGAACTTGATGAAAAAGCAATTCAGACAAGTGAGCCTTCACTCAAAGAAAGGTAACAAAATATAAATAAACAAGTATGTATATTGAAAGAGAAATTGGAATAGCTATTGCCAAAAGACAAGAAAACTAGAGACCCTTGAAACTAGACTCGAAGCAAGAAAGGAATTGACAAGAATGAAGAAGGCTTCACTCTTGTCTCTATATATACTATCTAACTAGGGGCTACGTGGCAACGTTCTATAGGACCTCCAATATGTGTTGACTTTGTAGGACACATGCCTTGACTTACAAGGTAAGTTTTTCTACGTGTGGGCCACATAGTTAGCTTGATCTTCAAGCTAACAACATGTGTGGCACATGGCCAACTTGATGACCACGTTTCTAATCCAAAAGGTCAATTAAAGACACCTATGAAGTCAAAGCAGCGTCTATGAAGCTTCTAAAAAGCTTCCATATTAAATACTATAGAATTAAATTACTTTTACCTACTTGTATATGTAATTACTAGCTTATATGAGTATGTCCGTGACATAACCATGTATTAGTAGCTTAAGGAACAAGGTAACTATATGGCATACATATAAAAAACTTGCTTTGCAATTTAAGATATGTATGTTGCAAAGTCAAGACATTTTGGAGGTCCTATAGGACATCGCCATATAGTTCCTAATTAGGAGTATATATAGAAGCAAGAGTGAAGCCTTCTTTACTCTTGTCAAAGCCTTTCTAATCTTTAGTTTTATTTCAAGTCTTTCTATTCTTCTTCTTTTTGGTAATAGTCATTCTAGTTTAATATCATGTCATCTTTGAGTGATTTTCTAGTCTTTTCAAGTGACATAAGAATGTATTGACATTTTAATTCTTTGAGGTTCATATCCTTGATATTTATACATGTCCATTGTTCCAACCACCATCTCCACTCTCTATCTCCATCCACGTCTTTAAACATGTCATTAATTCCACCTCAATCCCACCTTGTTTCTATTCTATTCATCTATAATTATAAATAACTATATATATATATATATATATAATAATTTAAATTATTAAATGATTATATTATAATTCTTTAAGTAACATATTAAAATCAATACCAATAAAATAGAAAAATATCATTATTATTAATTTATTATTAAATAAATTATATTTTTTCTAATAAAATAAGTATTTTATAAGAAGTTAATACTTTGCAAGTTTGTTATTTTTTATGTGTGCATGCAAAACTAAACAATAAATGATTTATTTAAAGATTTTTATTTTTAAATTTTACTTAATTATGATTTTATTCATAAAATTAAAATTTTAAAATATAATATTTAATTTGTGGTTTTAAAAAAAATACTAAACATGAAAAATTATAATATTTTTTAGTCATAAAATAGAGGCATGAATCTCTATTCAGAAATGTGAGACTTGAACTTGTATTATCACAATGCATTGAGAATATTTTTTTTTTTAGAAAAATAAATTCTAAATAACTGATACCACAAAAACATTAAACTAAGTGAAAGTAGTGCTTTAATGGTAAATAGGTGGGGTCTTAGGTTTATTTGCAATTCTTTAAAACTTTAGTTTTTAAACCAAAAAAATCTTTCTTAAACCACTACAAGAGAATAAAAAATATTATAACATGAAAAGTGTGATTGAATTTATATATATATATATATATATATATATATTTCAAATATAAGATGTAAGATGTATTAAATAAAATATATATTTTTTAAATTATATTGTAATAAAAAATATTTTGATAATGTTAGGATTAAAACTTATATTTATATTGAAAGTAAGTCATAATGATTTAAAAATTATTCATAAAATATTATTTTAAAGCAAGTTTTATATATATATATATATATATATATATATTACTTATTTGGGATAGGATCAAGAATGGGAGTGAGATAGAGTGGAGGTAGTGGCCTAGAATGAAGTAAGGAATGGGATTGGAGACAAGAAACATGTACAAAAATAGGTCATGAGATAGAAAGGAAGATCTGGGTTTATCTATCTATCTATCTAATCAAAATTAATTTTTGGAAAATAAACAAGTTTTTTATGATATTGGAAGAGTAAAGTAAAAAATATAATTCTAAGTGTAAACATTGTCTTTGTTTGGATTAGAAATGATTGTAATATATCTTTGCATATGTAATATAATTAATAAAGATTGCACCTTATCTTTGTTTAATATAAAATTTTGATGTGTATAGTAAGATACAAAATTATTAAAATTAAATTTATACTTATTTTAAATATAAAAGCAAATCAATTGATTTTATTTTTTTGGTCTTAATATGATCTTAATTCAAAGTGAAGTTAATATTAATTTTAGTAACATTTGGACAATAAAGTTGCAATCTCTTATATGTGGTTTGACTTTATCAAATAATTTTAGATGTTTTTTTAGTAAATATAATAAATAATTTTAATTTCAAGTTAAAAATCTATTATTCAAAATAACAAACAACCAACTCATTGCCATTTCTTGCATTGTAACAACAATGAATATCATCTCTTTTTGGTGCCTTGATGATATGTGACCAATTTTGTCTCATTTGTAATGAACAAAACCTAATCAAAGTAAATTTTGTAAAAATGTATACTTTTCATCTAAAATCAATGTGCTATTAAACAACTTCAAAGAATATTAAATTTATTTCTAGAATATCTATTCCAAATTGTATCTAATTGCCATAAAAATAAAATTATTGTAATCATTATAACCATAATTCTAAATCTAAAACATCCTCTTTAATATCTATGTGTATTCTATAACTATTTCTTTTGCATAAATATATGTCTTTAAGTAATGCAAAACTCTTGTAAGCATTGCAATTATACTTTTTTTTTATAAAACAATCATTCCACTTTTATTTATTTATTAAATGCAAAAAAAATAAATAAACTTCCAATGTTCTATTCATTGCACACTTTACTAATACTTGGACTCTTCTCAATGCTTATCTTCTCATTCACTTCAACAATCTTTTAAAAATTCTTCAAAGATGAAGTTTTAAGGTTCAAAGCCCAATCTGAACTAAAGAAATTTGAGTACCTATCAACAAAAATTGACCGTTCAGGTTTAATAATGATATTTTCGAATATCCTTAGAATTTAAAATCACACATTTTCACAAAAACAAATGAAAATGAATGTGTGATCACACTTATGGAGTCGAAAAGGTCACTATTTGGGTGACGATTTCGAAGGAAACAAAAAAGTAGTTTAACTTCCATCATTCTAATAAGTCTAGACTGTGAGTTTTTTTTTACAAAACTTTCATTTTGTAACTACCAAGTCAAGACGGTGAGTTATATTCACAAAAATCTTCATTTGTCACTAGAAAGTTGGGAAACACTGCAAAAAAAAAAAAAAAAAAAAAAAAAAAACACTGCAAATCCACGTAATTCCAAAACCAGGTGGAAAATTTGTGCGGCATATCCGCAGAGTCAGAGCCGCCTCTTCATCGAATCGTGTGTGAGGGCTTCAGCTGATCGCTCAATCGCCGGATCTTCGGCGATCTGGTGCATCCATCATCGAGAAAACCGTCTTCTGTTGCTGCAGAAGGAAATGCTGCATCACCCGGACGACATTGACGTAAGCCTACAGCACGCCGGCACAAAAAACACGATGAGGGCTGATCCCAAGGGAGACAAGCACACGCTATGACGAAGACTATTGAGTGGGACGAGTCACTCGCACACCGTCGCGAATCTGGCTAAAAGTTTACTAGACCTAAATTCTGGATATCCTGCAATCAGGGATGCATATCACACGTGGTCCAGAATAAGAAAATCCAACATAAGAACCAACTCAATGCCATTCCTTGCATCGAGGAATCGGGGCTTCTGAGGTTGCTTCGAGCGATCATTCGCCGACAGTGGAAATTTTAGCTTGCCAGAAACCTCGACGGAAGCTTCGTCGAGCATATTCGTAAATCAGGAATGTATCAACCAAACTTCCGAGTTGGATTGATCAGGAATGTAACAACCCAATTTCTGTGGATGGGTCTGCTGGCTGCAGCTCTACAAAAGTGATGCAGCGAAGGGTGATTGCAACCCTGCCCAACATCGTTAGCGCATCGATCGCTGTCCTGTGACAAGTACTCTAGTGGAATCAACAGCCTTGCTGCACATTTCCAGGTGCGAAGGCTCAACGTTTGCTCTCTTCCGACCCATCTTCACTCACGTTCTGCTGCTGGCTGTACATCTGCTGACAGTGCTCCTTGAGTTTTCTCCTTCGCTTGACCAATACACTGTGGCATAGAATTCCTTCGGGTGTCGTTGGGTGTCTCTCATTGCGCTCCTCGAAGCTGACCAACGGTGCGTTGTGGGTGCAGCTTTCGTAACTCGTTTCGTGCAGGTGAAGAACAATGGCCCCCAAGCTTTATGGGACGTACTATTCCCTCGCCACTGCCAAGGCGATCGCGGTGATGCTGGAGAAGGAAGTGGACTTTGAGCTTGTCAGAGTCAGTGTCAAGGATGGAGAGCACCGGAAACCCGAGTACTTAGCAAAGCAAGTGAGTACCGTCTACTATCTATTTTCAACCTAGTTTTCTGCCAGCATTATTCGCGCATTCATCGCATATTATTTTTCGGGTAGTTGCCAGATTCATTCCTGCTGAGATACTCACACCCACCGTGGGTTGGGCGTGTCCTGCAGCCATTCGGACTGGTTCCACTCCTGGAGGACGAGGACCTCAAATTGTTCGGTACGCGCTGTAGCTGTGTGTGTTGCTTGGCTTGGCTTTGCTTTCAAGTATGGGTTGTTTGTTGGTTTGCATTGCGGCAACAGTTACGGCAAGCGATTGCTGGGCCAGGTGCATGAGCGGTAGCGAGCAGCTGGCGGGGTGGACACCTAGTTTGCAAGTGTTGGGTCTGATGAATGGCGAGTTGGTTTGCACAGAGTCTGGCGCAATAATGCGATACATTGCCGACAAGTACGAAGCTCAGGGAACTCCTAAGCTGTATGGGTCGACCAAAGCGGAGCGGGCGCTAGTGGAGCAGTGGATGGAGGTTGAGGTCGGCACGTGGGGCGCACATATGCAGGTCCTTGTGCGTGAGCTCATCTTCACGCCGATGTTGCAAAAGAAACCCACAAACCAGCAAACTGTGGAGGACACCAAAGTGAAGCTTCAGAAAGTGATGGACACTTACGAGGCGCATCTAACGAAGCATCAGTACTTGGCAGGGGACTTCGTAAGCATTGCGGACCTCGTGCATTTGCCGGTGAGCTACTTGATCTTGAACGAGTATGGAATGCCGGGCCTGTTGAGCTCACGGCCGCGGGTAGCAGCATGGTGGGAAGCAATCACGAGCCGGCCATCCTGGAAGGAGATCGTAAAGAATTCGGGTGCGGACTGGGAGTCGTGGGTAAAGGCTGCAAAGTCCTTCAAGCCACAGTGAGATTAGTTGAAGAGAGATCGTTCCAGACAGGAGGTCATCACTCGTGACTGGTCCTTAATTCCGTAATTTCGCATATATGTTGGTATATTTGAACAGTGGCTGCTGTATGAACACTCAGTACCAGTTACCTGCAGCAGATGACAACCCCATTCTCGGTGAGATTGGTGGACAGGAAGAAGAGTATTTTATGTATACAGAACCCTAAGTTTAGGCATAGTGGATAGGAGTAATGTTTCAGCTGGGGCTGAAGATTTTGTAGCGGGATGGAGCTGTGAAATAGCTCAATTTCACGACCAATTCCTGAGTATTAAGATTTGCTTCCGACACAATTCAATATACATCTGCATTAATATTTCGAGATTAACACTTTAATTCCAAGGTAATTTAATATCCTGGATGGTCCAACGCTGAGGATCTCAAATATTTGGAATTGTTGGGGTTAGTTCACAGATTTCTGCCACGATTTCAAAATACCGTCATGGCACACAACAGCCAAAATGCATTCAAGGCAAAATAACACAATGCTTGCTGATAAATACTAATGCTCAGCAATTTAAACTCCAAACAAGCAAAGACCTGAACCAGCCTCCAGAGAATGCACACACCTAAAAGGAATCAACTGCATTAGACAAATGATTAAAACAAGGGAATTTTTCACATGTATGCCCCTCAAATAACCTATCATATTTTAGGATATTTGAGGGGTGTATATGAAATAGCAATCACACGTGCGGGATACACCCCTCAAATATCCTAAAATATCCCGCATGTGTGATTGCTTTTTCCGGCTAATTCTCATAAACATTTCTTCATAACTTATGAGCCTGTTACACAGTCAAAGGATAAGTTGAAAAAACTCAGTAAATCTTTCAAATAAATGTAAAGTAGTATTAATTTAGATGTTCAATTCACATGCTAAAAGATTAAGTTGTTATTTTATTTTAAATAATGAAAAAAAAAAAACATGTTAACATATTTATGTTTCAGAAATCACTTAATGAAATACCCAAAAACAAAAATTATTTAGTGAGGTGGAATAATAGTTGAAGAAATTTTATGTTGTTGGTCTGGGTTCTCATCTTTGAACATATGTGGATTTTTTTTATTACTTTCACTGTCTTCGTTAATGAATATTCATCAATATTACTATCAATATAACATTATTCATCATTATTACTATCAATTTTATTAACAGGACCTCAAAAAGTTCTTAACCGTGTATCTGATTTATTTTTGTTTGTTTGTTTTTTTGTATTTTTTTTTTTTTCTTAATTATTTGTACATGAAATCGTATTCCACAGATACAAGATACATATTAGCACCATCGCACGCAATGGATTTTAAAAAATAAGCAAATAGTGATGAAAGTTACTCAATGTGCAAGTATATTTTTGTACAAAAAGCAATGAAATACCCAGCAAAAGAAAACGGCACAACAATTATTTTTATGTAATATGTTAGGTCACATAAAGAAGTATATTGCTTCCAGATTCCACGATTCACTCCACCTTTTTCAACTCTTTTTCTTTTGATTTTTGATTTTGGTTCAAATCTCCTTTATCTCCCAAAATTTTAACGTCATTGTTGTTTACAAAGAATGATGGTTTTTCAACAAGTTGTAAAATCAGATATTTTCTTTGATTATGCGATATAGCACATTTTGTAATGTAAAGTCTTAACTCATCAGTAATGAATATTGATAAATTATGATACTTTAATAATTAATTATTGAAGGCGGTATAACATCCAAGTTTTATATACAAGTTATGTAGAATGATTTGTGTTCTGCATTCATTAGGTGTTTACTATATTTTTACACTGTTACTTTTATTGTGTCTTTAAAAATAGATATGAATTACAAGCATTAAAAGAACATCATTTTCTTTTTGTCTACATACAAACATAAACAAGAATAGGAATAATGAGGCCATGTGGAAAGAAGACAAAGAATTTATCAAATATTAAATTTATAATTAAAAAATGAAGCTGATATAATGCAATTTTTTGAAGTTTTGATTATTAGTTTAAGGTGGCACATGCCTAAAAACAGCAAGGAGATAACTAATGTTGAATACCATCTATGACATAAAAAATAAAGGAACATTTTCATATATATATATATATATTCCTCAAATATCAACAATATCCTTGCATTCTTAATAATAGCAAATATATCCCTTGTATATAATAGTGTATCACCACAAGGGATACATTTGCTCTTATAAAAAATGTAGGGTATTTTTGATATTTTAAGAATATATATATATATATATATATATAGATATGAAAATTTTCCTTCAAATAATAACTCGTGTAATATGGAGTTGGAGTTATAGACCACCTCAAGACACATGGGTTTTTTATGTAATAATTTCTATATAATTCATCATAATATAAATGATTAGCTATTTTAAGGAAATTGTTAATGCTACATTCTCAATTGATATTGCTATACCCTAATTAATACATGCTCCAATTGAGGGGGGTCAAGGCGGTGCAACCCCCTCTTATGATGGTCCAGTTGGCAGATCAATGGATGGAGTCAAATGGCAGTGATTGTGTAAGAGTTTTGGAGGGCAAAGCTCTTTAAAAAATATATATATATATATATATATGATATTTTTTTTATAAAATGTAATATTAAATTGAAGAGTTTTTTTTTTTTTTTTTTTTTTTTTGGATCACTAATCTTTAAAATAGTCTCTCTCACATTTCTTTAATTTCTCTTTGTATTTCTCTCACTTTGCTAGGAAGGCCAATTCTCAAAACCTTCTATTTTGTGAGCTACCTATTCTCAAATTACTAGAACAAGTACAAACATTATGCCAAGCAGTAGTTCCAAAAAAGAACCTCCTCAATTCAAGATTAGGTTTTACAAACAAAGTCCAACAAATTTTCTTTCTAAGAGCTCTACCCCTAGAAACCTTTGCCAAGCCTTGCCCCTTGATGAGTAATCAGCACCATCTCTATGAGGGTATTGCCCTCCTTGCAATTGTGGCAATATATTAGTTAGGGTGTAACAATATCAATTAGGAATGATTTGTTAACAATTCCCTATTTTAAATAGTGTTGAACTAATTCAAAAGATCTAATTTTTTTTTTTTTTTTTTTTTTTTTTTTAAATCAAACAAAAAAATAAAATTTGTGTGAATAGAACCAAAAAGTATAAAATTTTAAATGTTTATTTTTTTTAAAGAATTTTTTTATTCAATTTTCTAAGAATGAGGAAAAAAATAGAAAATGATTAAATTAATCTGCCCTTTCACTAAAACAACCCTTCACGTGACAATTGGCGTGATTGTCATGCATTTCATTTTTTTACAACTGTGTTTTCTACTTGTAGACCTTTAAAAGCTGCTAATGATACTAGATGAGTGTTTTTTAGGACTTGGAAGAAAATCATTTTCAGCTATTAAACAGGCCCAAATTCCACATAAGTGACGTGATGGGTAAATTTAGCAAAAAGGTAGATTAATTTAACAATTCCTCAAAAACATTCAATGATTGATTTAATTCTGAATGAATACTGGTGGTTGCCCAGCTGTCGTGCCTAAACTTCAACTAAAAGTTCTCACATCTTGTCTTAATGGAAACGAAGATTTTTTGAAGGGGTTCGGTGTGGGTTCGCGGCCCCAAGGTTCGGGTCCGAACGTACAGTCCACCTTTGGAGAGAAGGTTCGGATGCCGAACCTGCGCGAAAATTGGAGTGTTTTTTCTAGCCACGGTGAGTTGGCACCCCCTTCTCTTAGGGTTTGCTGTGGATGAGTTTGATGGTCTGCCTTGGATTTTGCACGCCACAGCCAGAGAGTGGCATGCAAGGCCTCTGGGTGCTCAGGAAAACTGCGCAGGGAGTAGTGTTAGGGCCGTTTTGAGGTCGTTGCGGATTTTGGGGCTCGTTGCAGATTTTGGTTCAGAGACGAGGCATTCTAGACGCAAATTTGGTCTCATCTTGTTATAAGCCTTTAGTGAATGATTTGCTCCGTGTTGGGGTATTGCGGTGTTTCAAGACTCTGTCCTCCATTCGTCGCAGATTGATCGGTGCATTGATTCGTGGACGGACGCTAAAAATACGTCGTTCTTGATGATTCCTGGATGACTGTCGAATTTCACGCGGTGCTTCAGAGTTGAAGTGACGCAGTTTTGTGTTGATTGCGGAGCCAGCTACCGATCGCTCAAGATGGTGCTTGTACTGGCTCTAGGTGACCTCCACATTCCATACAGAGCCGCGGATCTGCCTGCTAAGTTCAAGTCTATGCTAGTGCCCGGGAAGATTCAGCACATCCTCAGCCCTGGCAATCTTTGCATCAAGGTTTTCCCGCCCTTTACGCAGCTGCAATAAACAGCTCTCCCTGTTGAATGTGCATCATATATTTCTGTGCTCATTTTGTTTGGGAATTATATCTAGGGTTCAATGGGGACATGCTGGGGAGGCTCACGTCTTAGGGTGCTCATTATGGCAATCGCAATTGCAGGAAGTGCATGATTACTTGAAGTCATTGTGCTCGGATGTTCAAATTACACGGGGTGAGTATGACGAAGACACCCGCTACCCTGAGACAAAGCAGCTGAATATCGGCGCTTTTAAGCTCGGCATTTGCCACGGCCATCAGGTCTTGTCTTCTTCGCATTTACCTTATACCCCTTGCATCATAATCATTACATCAAAGTAGAAATTCATGCGTATATCTGCTATCACAGGGTTAATTTCAGGTTGCAACTGGTTCAATGTTTTCAGGTCCGATCCGTAGAAAATAGGGTTTTGTCTGTTACATTTATTGTCGTTCGCCGTCGTGATACTGGTTGTTTTTGAAGTTCATGTTTTTAGTTTATTTATTTAAACGTAAATTAATATTTATACTAGCTTCCTTTCCTTTTCTTTTCTTTTATCTTCGGTGTTTTTTCTATGATCTGCAGGTTGTGCCATGGGGAGATTTGGATTCATTGGCGATGCTTCAACGGCAGCTAGACGTTGATATTCTGATCACTGGTCACACTCACCAGTTCAAAGCATACAAGCACGAAGGAGGAGTGATAATAAATCCAGGATCTGCTACCGGAGCTTACAGCAGCATCACATACGATGTGAACCCTAGTTTTGTCCTTATGGATATTGACGGCTTAAGGGTTGTGGTGTATGTCTACGAGCTCGTTGATGGGGAAGTGAAGGTTGACAAGATTGACTTCAAGAAGCCACAATGATGGAGCTAGTGAATTGTGGTCTCGTTCAGGGTTCTTGATGAGCATCTTCATTTGTGTAGTGCTAGTTGGGGGGATTACAACGTCGCATGCCATTGTGTAAAAATAAGGACAGTCGTTCTGTAAACAGTATATAAGTAAGTTAAGATGTGCCGAAGAATTGGGGCACTTTCATCAAATGTCCACTGTTCCAAACATGGAAGCTTTGGTTTTTCTTTCCTATCACATCTCGTTGTCTTGAGCGGTGTACAGAACGTGAAGTTCTTCACAGAGAAGTTCGGACCGCTGTTTTACCGAAATGGCCCATTGTTTTACCTGATAGCTGCTTTTTAAAAAAGCACATGGGTGAGGTTTTTGAAATTTCCACGTGTAGACCACAGAGCACACATTAAAATGGGTAGGAGACATGGTAACGGACTCTAGTTTTTCTAAAGCATGACCCACAGAGTTAGGGCTGTAGTCATGGGTCATGAGAAGGATCCTGTAGTTGGGTTTCGTCTTCACCTTAAACCCTGCGTTTCAGATCTGATCCCAGGTATGGTGTCTCATCTTCCACCTTTTGCTACTTTCAGCTGCATTACAGCAAAACCTCAACCTGAAAATTGTGCCAGTTTCAGCTTTCGTTAGGGCTTCCTCTCCCGTGTTTTGAACGTGTCCCCAGTCTTTGTGCTGCATGTAGATTCATCACTTCGCTTTAGCAAGGACTGGTACATTGCCGGCATTTACATGGAAATAGGTTATGGTTGATTTTGGTTGATGTTTTACTACGTTGCTATATTTTACTTTATGACAGAAAGATAGCAAAATTAGGTGGATGGTTTAAGATGTAGTGAATCAGAGATGTAGCAATGTTGAGATGAAACATATGGACACGTTACAGAGTTTTTCAGCAACTGTTTTGTTGATTTTCATGCCATGAGTAGGTTATGTTATGAAACATTTGTTTTTGAAAGAATCGGTGTGGCAGTTCATTGCGGTTTGTTGTCTAAATTGATGCAAGCCTACTATTTGTAAGTGATTATACGGACACTTGAACATATATAATAACAATTCAAATACAAATGAAATTGAGACCATTTTCTTAACCTCCTATCATTTTATTTATACATTAATTTATTTTTGCACTTAATAAGCATGCTTCAATAAAATACAATTATGTTTTTTTAAAAATAATCTTCTATTTGAACTTTGTTAATTTATGATATCACAATTTTTATAATTGGATTTTTAAAATTAGAATTTCAATCAACTTATGTGTGAGTATTAGCAATAGTGGTAACTAAGGACAACAAAATAATGCCCATGCAAAAAAATAAGTATATCTTTATCTCTATACATATATATAGTATAAATAATGAGATGTCAGATGCAATAACATTCTTCTACATCAAAACATTTGTAAGATAAAAAAAATATCAAGACATATCCTATGAAAAAACAATATGATACTTATGTTTGTAAATATGATTTTATTTATTATGAAGTCAAAGCAATATTTTTAGATATCTACTTGATTTGTTCCAATGATGTTTTTTATATTTTTCATTAATTTTGATTATCTAGTTCAGTTTTGTCCAATTCCATGAGACATTCTTCTCATACAGTTGTAATAAGAACATAGCCAACTCTTCAAATACAAAAAGAAATTTTCAATAAAAGAACAAAGAATATAAAATAGTGTATTCATAGTGAAATATGAAGAATACAAAGTAATTATTGGAAAAAACTAAAAGTATAAACAATGTATCTAGAGTATATAAAATTTAAACAATGTATATAGAGTATAGAAAATATGAATTATATAAATGTTATCAATAGCTGTTAAGATTTTTTAACATAACTTTAACATAGATATTCAAAGACTTATTTCTTGTATTTATATCTAATTTAATGTATTCGAATCTAGTACAAACACTTGAAATTATACCATCTTAATGTAATATTTTATTTTCTTAAGTACTCTTACAAATTCCAAATAGAATAGAAACCAACTTCAAACTTGCAAGTCTTAAAACAACTAAAACAATTTGAAGGCATTCTTGCTAAGACACTTATATAATCTCAAAAAAATAACTACCAAGTACTAAAATATACAACCAATGTATAAAAAAGATAATATAAATAAATGAATATATATATAATACAAAGCTCTTTTGAACTAAAAATTATAAGACCAAAACACACATATTCAAATACCAACTATGAACCAAATTTCAAGATAAAACATTTATATTATTGGAGAAAGATAAGTTAGAAGAGACAACACTTAGCATTAGCAAGGTTGCACCAAAGAGAAGTGTAAAATAAGATAACTCTTACTTCCAACATTCTTTACTTATAGTTGGATTCTTCATCTACAATAATATTCATCCTTCTTTGTGTCAAGGACAAGAACTTAATAAAAACAAATAAATAAGTGAGACTTTTCTCAAAAAAAGATGATAAAATAGAAATAACTCAATATGTATATTAAAAAAGAAACTGGAATGGCTATTTCCAAAAGACAAGAAAATTAGAGACCCTTGAAACTAGACTAGAAGCAAGAAAGGAGTTGACAAGAGTGAAGAGGGCTTCACTCTTGTCTTTATATATACTATCTAACTAGGGGTTACATGACGATGTTCCATAGGACCTCCAATATGTATTGACTTTGTAGGATACATGCATTGACTTACAAGGCAAGTTTTTCTACGTGTGGGCTACATAGTTAGCTTGGTCTTCAAGCTAACAACATATATGGCACATGGCCAACTTGTTGACCACGTTTCTAATCCAAAAAGTCAATTAAAGACACCTATAAAGTCAAAGTAGCATTTATGAAGCTTTTAGGAAGCTTCTATAGCAAATATTATAGAATTAACTTATTTTTACCTACCTTTACTTACTTTACTTATATTTACTTACTTCTATCTATTTATACATGTAATTATTGGCTTACATGCATATATTCGTGACATTATCCCCCCTTCTAGGTACGAGTTCTACGAGGAGCGGTCATCATATGTTGAGAAAATCTATGATGCGACGAATTGTATTCGCCACATACTCTGATCTTTGTTCTCTTCGAAGATGATTAATAAGGCCTCTCAACCATTGATAATATTCCATACGAGGGTAGAAAGACCACTCAGTTATTTGATCGTTGTTGAGGCCTTCATAACTTCCTTGAAAAAAAAACATTTGGAACACTGTCAGGAGTTGTTCCTACCTCTAGTAAAATCACCAAACATCGGGAGTCCCTTCCAAGGTTGTGATATCAAACGCATTATATCTCGCCATTTATTCGAAGAAGAACATGTCGTTCTTGAAGATCTTCATCTCAATTGCGTCATCTTGAAGGTTGTGACAATCATAATGTCTTGTCTGGCAAGTTAGCAACAAAGGCTCTTAAGTCAAATCCGCTAGTTTTTGGTACTCCATCTCCTCACTGTCACAACTACAAAGAAGCTACAAATAAGGATTGAAAGTAGAATGTTATCTTGCCTAGATCTTGTTTCTTATATAAAGAAGGTTTTTATCTTAATTTTGATGGATGTCGTTCATAAAAAGCCTCCATCGCCTTTGTTGCATTTGCAAGATTCTTTACTGGCTCCCATGTGCATTCACTAATATCATATCTGTGCCAATGGATAAGATATTTCAATTTATTTTGGCGCCGCCTTGAATCTAAGACTTCTTCTACTTCAAACTCTTCATTATTGTCTACTTCTCAAGGAGGAGGTGGAGCTTGTCTTCTTCTTGGTATGTCCACTGTCTTGTATGGTTCAAGAAGAGACACATGGAATATTGGATGGATTTTCATTGATTCTAGTGTCGTAATACGTGAAGTCTTGCTTGAAAATGCTCCGGATACCTGGTTGTAGAAGGAAGAATGGAAATTGCAACAACAAAATCTTGATTCTAATAGAATACTAATTAAACTCTAATTTGATCATAATAATGCTAAGCAAGCTTCAATCAAATTCAAAAAAACCTCAAGAAATTTTAAACAAACAATAAGAATTCTTAAAAGAATATTAAAAAGATAACAAATATCACTCAAATACATCTCAATTCAATCTTAATTTAATTCTACTTAAAATCCTATTGAACTTCATTCAAACTTTAGGCCAAACCTAATTAAATCTTAAATCCTAATAAAATCCTAAATCCTAAATGAAATCCTAAACAAAACTTAAACCAAATCCCAACTAAATTCTAAACCAAACCTTAACAAAATCCTAACCAAATCCTAAACTCTAAATCAAACTCTAATCAAATCCTAAACCAAATCCTAATACAAATCCTAAACCCTAAATCAAATCCTAACCAAACCTTAAATCCTAAACCAAACTCTAATCAAATCCTAAATCCTAAATTAAATCCTAACCAAACCCTAAACCTTAAATCAAATCCTAACCAAATCTTAATCCAAATCCTAAATCCTAAACCAAATCCTAATCCAAACCCTAAATAAAATCCTAACCAAATCCTAAACCAAATCCTAAATCAAACCCTAAACAAACCTTACACCAAATCCCAACCAAATCCTAACCAAATCCTAACCAAACCCTAAACCAAATCTTAATACAAATCCTAAACCCTAAACCAAATCCTAAATCCTAAATCAAATCCTAACCAAATCCTAAACCCTAAATCAAACCCTAATCCAAATCCTAAATCCTAAACCAAACTCTAACCAAACCCTAATAATTCCTACAACAGATTTAAACCTCAATAACTAATGAATAAACTATTGATCTTAACTCAAATTTTGTGCACTTCTTAAAAATTAGGTTAGAAACAAGAAAAAAAAAAATTTAAATGATCGAAGTTACCAAATTGATGTTAACTTCAAAAATGTGCTCGGGTATTGGCTGGCCTCCTTCTCCAATCTTGATGCCAATCTTCCAAAGCCGATATCTCTCTTTTGCACTGTTCGATTGATCTCAAAATTCTCAAGCACATAGAAAATCAAGTCTAATATCCTCTTACATAAGTTTCATTCCAATCCAACTAGTAGATTGCAAGAAATCTTAAAAATCCCAACTAGACTTAAAATTCTACTTTCTACGACCTTGATCCACTTAAACCTCAATATCCTTCAATTCAACTATTAGATTGAACTCAACTTCACAACACATATTGAACACAACTATAACCATAAAACCACAAAATTTCACTCATAGATCTACTAAAAAACTCTTGAAATCACCCAAAATGTAAATCCTATTTTATTTCATAAA